GTTTCGTTCTGCTGTGCAGAACGCTATGAGTCAGAAACGACTCGACGGCACTTAACAACAACAACAACAAAGATTTACAGCCTTAGAAACCCAATGGGGGTCGCTATGAGTCGTAATGGACTCAATAGCACTGGGTTTTTTTTTTTTTAAAGTAATTTAAAGGTTTTCTAAACCAAATAATGAAACTCACTGCTGTTGAGTCGGATCCAACTCCTTGGGTTTCTGAGGCGGTATCTCTACGGAAGTAGACTGCCCAACCTTTCTTCCCACAAGTGGCTAGTGGGTTTGAACCTCCAGCCTTCTGGTTAGGAGTCAAATGTCTTAGGCACTGTACCACCAGAGCTCCCAAAGGTTTTCCAGGGGTCTGTAAAACAGGAAGGTGGGATAGTTAAGCACATGACTGGTGTGGGGGTGGGGCGGGGAGGAGGAAAGCAAGTACACCCTAAGCACTGGCTATATAGACATAGTTACATGAAAGCTTCCAACACTGTGGAGCAGGGACTTGAGAAGGAAAGAAGTGTTTTAGTCGGTGCTCTCTGCCATCTGAATGGCTACCAGATTTGGGGAGGAGGAAGGAGTGAGACAGGCCTATAAATGACAATTAACAATTTGGGGGGGCCCTGGTCCTCAAAGAGCTCTGGGGGTGCTGTGGTTAAAGCACTGGACTGCTAACCAAAAAAGGTCGACAGTTGGAACCCACCAGGCACTCTGCAGGAGAAAGATGAGGCAGTCTGCTTCTGGAAGGATTTACAGCCTTGGAAACCCTGTGAGGCAGTTCTACTCTGCCCTACAGGGTCACTATGAGCCGGAATCAACTCCGTGGCAAACGGTTTGGCTTTCGGTTTTGGTCCTCCAGGAGGAACTTGGCTAAGCCATCTGGGATGCACTTACCTTATTTCTAGGACTCTCTTCAAAGAAGTAATTGCCACTTCCTCCTTCCCTTTCTCTCCATCTCTGGGGAAAGTGGAATCTCGTCCATCCCTCTCAACCAAAGGGAACAAGGCCACTGATTCTGAGCAACCTACTCTTTCCACTCAGTGTTCACATCCTCACCAGGGCTCCTGAACTCCCAGGGTGTCGCTTAGGAGGGGAGGTGGTGAAGGAGAGGAGCTTGGGTTTCAGTTAGTGTGGGTGCGAACCAGCTCTGATGTTTTCCAGACCTGTGATTTTGGTCAAGTTACTCAACAGCCTCGAGACGGTTTCCATTCCTGTGATGGGACTAAGAACAGCCCCCTAGCTGGGCGGTTGTAAGGGTCCCTACGGGCCCTCAGGCATTCCTCCCCGCACCCCATGCGTCTGCACAATGTCTCAGGGGTGGCCTGCCCCTCCCGCCACCTGGGTCCCTGGGTCCCCTGCCCTACGCCTCCCACCCCTTAGGGGCACGCACCTCCGAAAAGCCTCCTGAAGGATGGAGCAGGAGGGGCCGGCTGTGGAATTGGGGCCGTGGTCGATGTAGAAGTTCTGCTGGGAGAGGAGCAGCTGCCGCGGGGTCATCTGCACGAAGAGCGGCAGGGGCCACAGGGCGGGGGCGCACGCGGCCTGCGTCCCCAGCAGCGCCGCCAGCAGCGCCAGCAGCCCCGGCAGCATAGTGAGGCGCAGCGCGCGCGGGCGGCGCGGCGACTGGGGGCAGTGCGGCATGGCCCCTCTCTGTTCGGCCGCGTCTGCTAGACACGGAGCTTCCCAGACCAGACTTCCCGCCCCCGCCCCGCCGGAGTCACGAGTCAGATGACAGCACGCAGGGCTCCGCCCCGGACTCTGCTTCCCCGCCCAGGAGTCACCCTGCACCCAAGGGACCGCCGCCCTGAGTCCCCGCGGCTGCACCCTGCCCACCAAGCTCAAATGAGAGCGAATTCTCAGGCATACCAAGAATTTCTCAACTGTTAGAAGCAGGAACCTAACACCAACCCCTAACAGGAGATAGACGAATTAAAAAATAAGAGCTTGGGGACGCCAGCCCAGTGTCAGGTTATCGCTCTGGTATGTAAGGACTCTCCTGATAGCAATGGGCTTCAATGAACCCGGAAAAGTGTGGGTGCGAACCAGCTCTTATGTTTTGCAGACCTGTGATTTTGGTCAAGTTTCTCAACAGCCTCGAGACGGTTTCCTTTCCTGTGATGGGACTAAGAACACCCTCCTAGCTGGGTGGTTGCAAGGGTCCCGACAGGCCCTCAGGCATTCCTCCCCTTTTCCCCCACCCTCTGCCCCAAACACAGATAATCGAGATGGTGGCGGAGTTTGTTTGATACTGTCTAGATTTTTCACTAACGCTAATTCAACTTTAATTAAAGAACCTTCTCATACAAACTCCCTAAGGCAGAATAGGTGGGAGCTTAAAAATTATGCAGAAGAAATCCCATAAGACAATATCTTGGGGGGGATGGGTAGAGGGCTTCTTATAACTTCAAAAGGACTCCATGGACCAAGTTAATAGGCAGATGACGTAAACAGGGAAGTATCTGTAACGAGGGATTAATACTGTCAAAGTATAATTTTAAAAGAAAGTAAAAAACATGATCGATTACCAAATAGAATGAAAACGTGTCAAATTTTATTTAGCTCATTAATTAATGAGACGATTAGTACAAAGATAACTGTGGTTCAAAGGCAATTGAATAAAGCAATGTTAGAAGAAGATCACTAAATTAGTTAAAAAGTTAGTTGGTGTCCTAAAGGAACTCAACTCTATGAACCTGAGCCTCCCCTCCCCTACCGAAGAAAAAGAATCTCTGTTTATATTGAATTCCTGAGAGCAACTTAACTATCTGTGATGCTGTTGTTCTTGGGTGCCATCCTGTCAGCTCTGAGTCATAGCGACCCGTGTACAACAGGATGTGACACTGCCTGGCCTTGTGCCATCCTCACAGGTGTTGCTATGCTTGAAGGCATCCTTGCAGCCACTGTGTCACTCCGTCTCATTGAGGGTCTTCCCCTTTTTTCTGACCCTCTTCCTTACCAAGCATGATAGCCTTCTCCAGGGACTGGTCACTTCTAACAACATGATCAAAGCATGAGAGAGGAAGTCTGGCCATTCTCGCTTCTAAAGAACATTCTGGCTGTCCTTCCTCCAAGACAGATTCGTTTGTTCTTCTAGCACTACCTACAATATTCTTAACCAACACCACAATTCAAAAACATCACTTCTTCTGTGGTCTTCCTTATTCACTGTCCAGCTCTCACATGCATATGAAGCTATTGAAAATACCATGGCTTGGGTCAGGCACACCTTAGTCTTCAGAGTGACATCCTTGCTCTTAAACACTTTCAAGAGCTCTTTTCCAGCAGATTTGCCCAGTGCAATATGTCTTTTGACTTTTTGACTGCTGCTCCTATGGATGTTGATTTGTGATACCTCTAATATTGGGAGATAAAATAGCAGATCTAGAAACAATATGGCTAGAAGGTTGAGGTAAGGCACTAACTTTATTTTTTTTTCCCCCAAAATGGATAGCCAATTGTGAAAATGACATATATTGGTGTTTATACTTTTCTGAAATGATTATATATCCCCATGTGTCTGAATCGACTTGAATACAACTAACAACAGCCTGTGTTACAGTAAAAGGCCCCAGATTCAAACACATGCTATAGAGATCCTTTTATTAAGCCTTAAACAGGATTTAAAAAAAAAAAAAAAAAACACCTCACTGCCATTGAGTTGATTCCGACTCATAGTGAGCCCCTTTGGGTTTCCTAGGCAGTAAATCTTTACAGAAGTAGATTGCCCAGTCTCCCTTCCCTGGCACGTGGCTGGTGGATTTGAACTGCCAGCCTTCTGGTTAGCAGTCAAAAGCCTTAGGCACTATGCCACCAGAGCTCCTTTTAAACAGGATGAAGACAATCATTTGGATGAGGGAAGCTGGCAGCATGCACGCAGTGCAGAGGCCAGTGGAATGTGCTGAATCACAGCCATGCTGTACGTTATAGATGAGAGAGAGCAGAGGACACCATCACAAGATCATGACTGTGGCCAGTCGATTCAGAACGTCCCAGGTGGGCCTACGGGAGCCAGGAAAAGAGGAAACACAATGACCGGGATATGGACTTAACTGCATGTTAAAAGGTTACAGGATAGGCTATTTTTTGCAAATCATTAAGGACATTCCAGGTACGTTCCCTAGTTCTTTGCATGAGCACCCTTTTGCATACTAGTTAGTCTGCTTTCAGCCACATTGTTCCTGAGGGCAAATTGCCTTTCCTGGTCTTACCCAGACTTTGTCTAAGCATAGCCACATTGATAGATCAATGCTCAGCAAGCACTGGGGAGGTAATAAAAAGACCTCAAATGGTCTCTGGACTTATGTCAAGACTCAGAATGGAATAGATTGCAGCCTTCCACAAACCAAGTGCTTTAGAATGTAAGCTCTCTGTTCTGGTTACCTAGTGCCACTCTGACAAGAATATACCACAAATGGGATGGCCTTAACAAACAGGAGTTTATTCTCTTACAGTTTGGAGGCTTTAAGTCCAAGTTCAAAGTGCCATGCTCTAGGGACTGGTTGAAAGCCCCTCAACCTTGGAGTCCAGCTCTGCCTCCTGCTCGCGGCCCACTGGAGCTGGAGGCGTTTCTTCACTCAGACACCTGCTGGCTGCTGAGGCTGGCAAACCCAAGGTTGACAAGTAAAAAGGCATAGTCCTGATGTTACCAAACCACATGGCAGGCCATTAACTTAAGTCCATTATAAGTCCCCAGGTCGGCAGAGCATGGCAGGCTGCTGAACAAGGACATGGCTACATACAGGGTCCAAGCATGCCATAAGCTCAAGACTATTCCCAAGGCTTCTCCTTATATACAGGAAGCAGACCACATCCCAAAGACAGCTACCCAGCTGCTTGTGGTAGATCCCACCATGAAGTTGATTGCTAGTCTCATCATGGGAATAACTACCACCAGCTGCCCAGCCACTCAATCAGGCCCTGACAAGTTGACACACAAATGTAACCACCACACTCTCATACAAGCCTATACTTTAATCTAAATTTTTATGAAGCTATATATTTCTGTTTGAGGCTCTTCATTCTGTTCTATTGGTCTAGATAACATTTTGAATTATGCTTTGAACCTGGAAGGGCGCTCAACTGCTAACCAAAAAGTCTAACACCTTGAGAGCAAGATGTGGTAGTCTATTTCCATAAAGATTAGTTATTGTTGTTGTTGTTAGGTGCCATACAGTCAGCTTTGACTCATACAATCGTGACACACTCCCTTCTTTATTTTAAACCATGCTGTTGTTGTTAAGTGCCATCAAGTTGGACCTGACTCATAGCAACTCCTCCTTGGGTTTCCAAGGTGGTATCACTACAAGAGTAGATTGCCCAACCTTCCTTCCTAGGAGTGCCTGGTGGATTTGAACCGCCAGCCTTCTGGTTAGCAGTCAAGTGCCTTAGGCACTACACTACCAGAGCTCCTTTAAACCATGCAGTATCCCCTTACTCTGTTTGAATGACAGCTTCCTGGTCTGTGTGCAGGTTCCTCATGAGTACAATTAAGTGTTCTGGAATTCCCATTCTTCTCAATGTTATCCATAATTTATTATGCACACAATTGAATGCTTTTCATAGTCAATGAAACATAAGTAAACATCTTTCTGGTATTCTTTGCTTTCAGTCAAGATCCATCTGACATCAGCAATGATATCTTTGTTCCACTTCCTCTTCTGAATCCAGCTTGCAGTTCTGGAAGTTCTCTGTCAATATACTGCTGCAACCATCTTTGAATTATCTTCAGCAAGATTTTATTTGTGTGTGATGTTAATGATATTGTTTGATAATTTCCACATTCTGTGGGATCACCTTTCTTTGGAATGGGTACAAATATGGATCTCTTCCAATCAGTTGGCCAGGTAGCTGTCTTCCAAATCTCTTGGCATAGATAAGTGAGTGCTTCCAGCACAGCATCCATTTGTTGAAACATCTCCATGGGCATTCCATCAATTCCTGGAGCTTTGTTCTTCACCAATTCCTTCAGTGCAGCTTCGACTTCTTCCCTCATTACCATTGGTTCTTGATCATATGCCACCTCCTGAAATGGATGAACATCAACCAGTTCTTTTTGGCCCAGTGATTCTGTGTATTCCTTCCATCTTCTTTTAATGTTTTCTGCATCATTCAATATTTTGCCCATAGAATCTTTCAATAATGTAATTTGAGGCTTGAATTTTTTTCTCAGTTCTTTTAGTTTGAGAAATGCCAAGTGTGTTCTTCCGTTTTGGTATTCTAACTCTAGGTCTTTGCACATTTCATTATAATAACAGACTTTATCTTCTTGAGCTGCTTTTTGAAATCTGTTCAGCTCTTTGATCATGTCATTTCTTCCATTTGCTTTAGTTACTCTCCTCTCAAAGGCAAGTTTCAGAGTCTCTTCTGACACTCATTTTGGTCTTTTCTTCCTTTCTTGTCTTTTTAATGACCTCTTGTTTTCTTCATGGATGATGTTCTTGATGTCATTCCACAGTTCCTCTGGTTTTCGGTCATTGGTGTTCAATGCATCAAATTTATTCTTTAGATGATCTCTAAATCCAGGAGGGATATATTCAAGGTCATATTTTGGCTCTTGTGGACTTCAGCTTCAACTTGAATGTTCATGTGAGCAGTTGATGGTCTGTTCCACAGTCAGCTCCTGGCCTTGTTTTAGCTGAAGA